TCCAGGTGCGCTTTCGAACTCGCACTTCTTGATGAAACCTCGGCCAGTCAGGCGTGGTTCCTCGGCGCACACACCTGTTGATTTCATCCACGTACCTCAACGCCCATGGCCAGTGAGATGAGTCCAGCTCTGCCTGTCTCAACGTCCTTCTCACTTGGGCTTTTATGGCTTTTACAGCCACCTCTGCTCTTCCATTCCCTTGCGGGTCGTCTCCAGCCGTCTTTGTGACGTAAATGCCACGGCTTCTGGCCCATCTTCCGAAGGCACCCTCAAACTCGTGCCCCCGGTCGCAGTGTATGCGGCCAATGTGGTAGCCGTCAGCTCTCAAGCGCAAGACGAACTCCATCGCCGTCGCGCTCACCTCCCTTGCTGTCTTTGTCACCATTGGGAGTGCCATTCTGTACACTCTCAGCTCTGTTTCCTCCTCCAACTTCCCTGGTTCTTCCTCCTCCTCGGGCGGGGCCGGGAGGCGGACTGGCTCTCCTCTAGCCAACCCCTGCTCACCGGCCTCTTCGCCCTGCGGTGGGGCAGGGAGGCGGACTGGCTCTCCTCTAGCCAACCCCTGCTCACCCGCCTCTTCACCGCGGCCTGCTGGGAGGCGGACTAGCTCTCCTCCAGCCAACCCCTGCTCACCAGCGGCCAATGGCGGTAGTTCGCCAATATCTTCTTCATCAAAGCCTTCTCCTGCTTCTTCTTCATCGCCTTCCTCTATCTTCGGTTCATCACCCTCTAAAGGCTCGTGCGGTGGTTGCTTCAGCTTCTCAAATCCTCGGGGAACTCTCCATGTCAAAGCTCCAACCAGGAAGTACCGAGCCTTTCCGCCACCTTGGTCATACGCTGGAATCAACGGTCCAGCGGTGTCAATGGACAGCACCCCAGCTGCCACATGCTTTGCCTTTCGATGTGGGGCACACTGTTGCATAGTTTCTTGACATACCCTACAATCTCTTCGATACGGCACATGACCCATCGCCAAGTGTTCCTGCCATGACAATGGTTTCAGCTTCGGCTTGGCCTTATACACCTGCCTCATCAGCGCTTCTGCAAGCATTCTCATCACAGCAGGCGGCCATCTTGACAGTTCCTTCGAGTCGTTGATCCGGGCTTGATGCTTGGGTGCTTTGATCTTGTAATCCTCTGGGTGTAAGTCAAGCGACCCACCAAAAGTTGTTGGCTTGGCGGTCTTTCCACCCAGATGTCCTTGCTGAAAAGTGCACTCCTTCAGGTTGAACTCCTCTTTCAACTGCTTCCACTCCGTTGTGTCCCAAAAGCTGACCACCTCTGGCTTGTACTGTTTGGGACTTGCAGGTTGCTCCAGACTGAGCACTGGGTCCATGCTTTCTCCTCTCGCCCTGGCAGCATAAACGGCCACCACGTAGAGAAAGATAGTCCTCCACAGCAGCAGGTCATCTTCTCGTACCTGCTTCTTCTCCTCTTCAGTCAAACCTTCTGCACCAAACTCTCCACCTCCCCAACTTCGAACTGGTCGCGGAGCTTGTGGATTCCCCTCTATAGGGTAGTGTCTCAGAACACTTCGTGTCCTGCAGTTGGGGCCAGCTACTATGCCCTTTATTTTTCCTTCCAAAGCGGCTCTAAGAAGGGAACCATATGGAGTCGTTGCCAGCATGTCTTGACCTTCTCCTCTCACCTGATCTACCTCTAAGATCTGCCAATCCTGTCCTCCAGCTTGTTGCCAGCCTCTCTTCAAGGTGTGACCTTCTTCAGAGCCCGCAAAAAGATGAAGAACAAAGCCATCTCTTTTCATTCGCTTTCTCGTTCTTTTGTTCGCTGGCAGCTGTCCCCACTCTCCCACTTCACATGGAAGCCCTTGTTTGATCCAAGGAGGCAATGACCTCAGCAGCGGATGAGCTTCTACCAACGACTTCATCCACTGAAATTCTCTTTGAAAATCCTCAGCTTTCTCTCCGATGCCCATCTTCTGATTTTCTAGTTCTTCGATGAGCTGCAAGGCCAATTGCCTTGGAACCTGTGGGCAGCCATTGTCGTAGGTGATGGGAAGCCGTCCACGGAAAGGGTGAACCACAATCAACTCACCTTCTTTCCACGTCGCCTCACATTTCAATTTCTCCATCAAAGCTCCCATCGGCACAATTGGTTCGACTGAGGGGTCTTCACTGACCATGGTCCCTCCAGGTGTGATGGGAATCTGAACCCGGTTTCCATCAGCTAGCGCCACATCTACTTTCCGATATCCTTGAACATCTTCTCCTTGTTTTCGAGGCCTCAAGCAGTGAGATGCCCCGCTGTCCAGAAGACCCTGTTGTGTCCCTTGATTCATCCTCCGAAGCCTCAAAGTCTTCATTCGAAGAGAGTTCAACTGTTGCTGTAACTTCTCAACCACCTCAGCTCTGGACTCCTCTTGACTCGTTGGAGACACGGTTGAAGAAGCCTGTGACCCTGTTCCTGTAGACAAAGACCTCAGCATCTTGTTCGCCTCTTCCAGCAAGTTTTTCATGGAAACGTCCTGAGAAGAGCTGGACGCCGCTTCGCTGTCTTTCGCTGACGACGACTTCTCCTCTTCTCCTTTCGCTGTCTTTTGTCTCACAGGGCTAGCATCACTGCTGGCTCCTCCTCTTGACCTCGTGCATGTTGACGACAAGTGCTGAGTCGAACCACAGGTGTAGCAACGCCTCTTCTCATCTCGCACATCATGTGACCAGCTGCACTCCTTACCTTTTCGGCAGCCTCCTTCTGAAAGATAAAACTTGCAAGCCGGTCTTCCCTTTTCTTCTTCTCCTATCTTTTCTTTCCCTTTACCTTTTCCTTTGTCCTGTTTGTCCTGTTTGTCCATGTCGAGGGACTTCAACTTGGGAGCATCCTGTCTTGAACCCTGTCCTCCAGTGCGCTTCTCAGTCAACGCAACTTGCTCTATTTCCGCCAAGAGATGTGTGGCAAATCTGCTGACAGACAACTCAGTAGGAGTCGTATCGACTCCAAGGCTCGACCTCGCAAGTTGAATCCTGAATTGTAGATCACGGTTGCTATCGAGAACCCGCTTGGTGAGTCTGTTCAAGCCTTTGAGCAGGAGGGCAGCATCCGGAATCACTGCACCTATTTCAGCAGTTCTGGCCTTCCATCGCATCCACTTTCTCAGCGCAGCCGGTGCATCCCCTATGTTCGCCACCTCTGGCGGTTCTTCAAGATTTCTGAGAAGCATAGTCTTTTCCATGACACCACCAGGGCAGTATGTAAGAAAAAGGTGTGTGAGGATTGAGAAAACTCCCATCTTTCTGCCAGCAACCAACTCATCACGTACTGATTCTGGCACAGCATGGAGAAGCATAGTTGACATCCTTCGCTCCAGACGTTGCCAGCGCTCTTGTTGAAGTCCAGGAGGCGGAGTGGCATTGTGAACAATCCGATCCAACGGATTGAGAGCCATGTGCGCCTGATACCATACCTCTACTGATTTTGTCATCTCGCGCCACCACTCCTCACTTGTTGCAGACATATCGGCGGCGACAGGCTCCACCATCAGCAGCCAGTCTCCCAGTTGAAGTGGGCCTTGTGACGCATTGCAAGGCTGAAGTGGCGGCAATTCCAAGATGCCTGTTCGCACCACCTCTACGCCCTTCACCATGCCGGCATCGTCTCTCCCCTCACTGACCTTCTTTTGCATCTCTTTCATTGACTCTACCATGATGGCCATGAACTCCAGCGACTTCTCGGTCAGACCAGATCCTGACCCACGGTCCTCCACTGGAGACTCTTTCGTTCCTTCTGTCTTTCGCTCTTGACTTCTTTGGGGGTCTACAGCCTCCTTACTCCTCCATGGAAACAAGTCTCTTTCGCTCATGCGTCCTTCAGCAGCTTCTGACCAAATCTTCTGGGGGTCTGCAGCCTCCTTGTCTTTCATCGACTTTCTCTGAGCCTGACCTTGAGGGTCTACAGCATCCTTCAGGGGGTCTGCAGCCTCCTCGGGGGTTGAGAACTTCGAATCTCCTCCTTCTGATGGCTTCTTCAACTCGTTCAGGGCATCTCTCAGCTTTTGGTTCTCTGCGGCAAGCTTGTCTAGATACCCTCTCAACTCATCCCTTTCTCTTTGATCTTTTTGCTGCTGTTCTCTCAACTGTTCCAACATTTGATCTTTTTCGAACATTTCCCTACCGATCCTATCCTCTTCAAGACTCAGAAAGGCAGGTCTCTGAACACTAGGTGTGAATGCAGAGTGAGGTTGGCCATACAACCATGGTGCTTGACTGTGGATGAAAGCCATGTGTTGCAACTGCTCAGGGGTGAAAAGAGGTGGAAACGCCGAGCTTTCTGCTCTCCTATCTGTTCCCTTCCCATCCCCTGTTGGAGACGCTCTCGCCTGGCTCTTCTTGTTCTCGAATGCCTCAGGACCCAAGTTACTACCGGTCTCCTTCTTGGAAGACATGGTAGCCTTCTCACTTCCTTTGTCTTGTTGGTCCTGCGGCTTTGGAGTCCTAAGTCCAGGCGACGCAAATTCCTCAGGTGCAAACTTTGGTGGCTCTGCTGGTGGCAAGGTTGGTGGCCTTCTCATTTCTGTTCCAGGGGCAGCGCTAGACGTATTGTCAGGACTAGAGTTTCCTTTGGAATCTTCTCTAACCCCATCAGCTATTGGAGGAGCACTCACCTCACCTGAAACCTCCTTGTGGCTACCTTCCTTGCTATCCTCTAACGGCTTTTCGCCTCTCTCTTCTGCTTCTTTCTGCATACGTTTCTCTGCCAGTCTCATCTCTGCTTCTCCCTGTGCTATTTCCTCTTGAGTAGCCCTACGTCTCATCATCATGTGTTTTCGGTCAGAGCTTTGGGCTCATAACCTGCTGATATCACAGTCAGGTTTGAGCTTCTAGACCAGAACTTGTTACACTTCTCGTTTTGTGCAAGCCCAGTCTCTCCTCCCAAACCGCGTCCTCTCCGTTTCTCCAAGGCACAAATGTCTTGAGATTTCAAAAGGGGCAGCTTCACGCATGCCAAGGATGAATTTGGATATGTGAAATGTCAATGCAACTGACATGTATGTGCAAAAAGACAGGGGAAAACAGCAGTTATATTCCCCCACCTCGCCATGCAAGGGAATTTAGATCGAATTAGGAGGCACGGATTCACTTTCAATCGCACTTTTGTCCCCAGGTTCATCCACTGGTGATATCTTGTGATTCCCTAGCCCATCTAACCTCCCTTTACCACCACCGGTGTTTTTTTGGGGGTACATTTTCCAGGTCATCGTTCCGGGGCTCATCGACACCACCACGGCGCGCGTGGAGGATCCACGTCTCATCGCGGAGGACCTGCTGCGCTACGTGCGCGCGGCCGGCCATCCAGCCCGCGTTGTGGCGTCCACGGACTGCGGCTTCGCGTCCACGGCCAGGTCCACAGCCATTACGGCTGACTTGGCACCTGGGTGAAAGATATGGGGGGTTCCATACATGGAGATACCCCCATAGCTGGATGGTTTATTTATGTTTATTTCATGCTACATCCTGGATTATAAATGGATGAGAACTGGGGGTAGCCTTATTTTAGGAAACCGAAAGATATGAAAGATGAAGAGAAGTACAGCGATAGATAAGGTGACATATATGATGGGTCTGGAAATTGTGTACAACCCCAAAAATGCTACAGGAAAGTTATGAGAAACCATGGGATTTGGAAGTATCCTGTTTCTGGACAAACCCATATGGATATACATACGTATATATATATGGTTTCATTACATTTATGCCTATTTTTCAAAGGATGCCTATGTATTTTATTTAGTTTTTTTGGATCAGGTTGAGAATTCTATTTGGATTCCTGCTTTTCTGCTGTTCCTGCTGTTCTCCTCCTTTGCTTTTCTGTTTTTCGGCTTTTTTGCTTTGCTTCTCTGCTTTTCTGCTTCTCCGGTTTTTTTTCTTTTCCTACTTTTCTTTTTTTTCCTGCTTTTCTGCTGTTCTTGCTTCTCTCTTTTCTGCTTCTCTGCTTTGCCCGCTTTTTGCTTTTCCTGCTTCTGTGCTTCTGTGCCTTTCTACGTCTACTTGTTTTTTCTTTTCCTTATTCTCTCCTGTTTGTATCCTAAATGAAACCCTAGATGAAACCCAAAGACCCCCTAAAGAAATCCCAATAAGAAACCCTACATAAACCCTAAATGAAACCGTAAAGAACCCTAAATTAAACCCTGACCAAACCCTAAATGAAACTCAAAAGAAACCCTAAATGAAACACAAAAGAAATCCAAAAGAAACCCGTCATGAAACCCTAAGATACCCTCGGTGACACCCTAAAAAACCCTAAATGAAACCCTAAAGAAACCCTGAAGAGAACCGAAATGAAACCCCGAAGAGACCCCAAATGAAATCGAAAAGAAACCCTAAATGAAACCATAAAGAAACCCTAAATGAAACCCGAAAGAAACCCTAAATGACACCCTAAAGAAATCTAAAATGAAGCCCTAAAGAAACCCACATGAACGTTTGAAGTACCAACATGTAGCCAATATTATGCAAAATGAGAGGTTGAAGCCGAAATGTAGCAAATCCCATGCAAAATGAGAGGTTGGAGTGCCTTAAATGTACCAAATACCGTGCAAAACGGAAGGTGAACATGCCAAAATGTCGCAAAGGCCATGCAAAATGACAGATTCAGATTCTAGTTCCAAACTGTAGCAAACGCCAGGCAAATGGTACCAGGAAAGAAATAATAAAAAGAACCAAACCTCACCAAAAAAAACTAAAGCTATTTTCACGCCTTTCAAATACAATAGAAGATACATTTTCAAAAAGAGTTCTTTATGCAATGCTGGTGGTTGAAACACATGTCTATTTGGATATCATGTTGCTTTATGTGTTCATTCTGATGATTATGTTGACTGCCTTCCATGGCTTCCTTCTGCAAATCATTTTCGTGGCCTAAGAAACATGCATCCGAAACTTTGAAAAGTTCAACAATGGACATCTAGAAATTATAGACATGATCCGAAACTCTGAAAATCAGACGTGTTTGATTGATTTTCATTGAATCTATGGATATCTATGGATATCTATGGTCATTTTTGATCCTTTTTGGCTCGAGGCTTGGATGAAGCTGCGAAGCTTGGCCGAGGGCGCTCAGCTGGCCACGCGTCACTTTCTACAGCAGTCTGCGCCGGTGCCGTGTCGCAGCGTTTGCCTCGCCGGCACGCCCTTTCGGGCAGTGATCTTCAGCGAGGAATGGAATATGGGACCTATATAGGAACTATATGGGAAGTGGGAGATTTCATTGATTGACACCCTCTGGTAAACTAACATAACAATGGAAAATCACCATGTTTAATGGGAAAACTCACTATAAATGGCCATTTTCAATAGCTATGTTAGTTTACCAGAGGATAGTTCCCATATTCCAACTATTGATTCATTGGAATATGGAATATGGGAACTTGGATAGATATTGTCTGATAGGTGATTTTTTCCCGTGATTTCTAGGTTTCAACCAAGGTGGTGCAGGATCTCGCAACCATCCACAGTATTTCTCCATTTTTCTCCATTTATCAGCAAAAATCTGGATTCATATTCAGCCTTCCCCACCATCTCAACTCCAAATATATATATATATATACACCCGCAACGCCTGGGCTCAGCCCAGGCGTTGCAGCGTAGAGGTTTCCCATTCCCAAACAAATGTTGATGCAACTTCACAAAATTCCTGTGGGAAAAACAACGAAGGTACCAGGAAATGTTAAACTCCCACCCCCGTGAAACTTTACATTCCATTGGGAAGATCAACAAAGGTACTAGGGAATATTAAACCCCCCCACACCTGTTAAACTTTACATTCAATTGGGAAGATCAACAAAGGTCCTAGGGAATATTAAACTCCCACCCTCGTTAAACCTTACATTCAATTGAGAAGATCAACAAAGGTATAAGGGAATACTAAAGTCCCACCCGCGTTGAACTTTACATTCGATCTTCATTCAATAAGGGTTTAATTCTCCTCCCACCCCCGTTAAACTTCTATCTTCATTTTGAAGGTCCTCAACAAGGGTTTGATGATGATGATGATGATGATGATGATGCGTTGCCTGTCGTGGTTGCGGTTCCGGGCAAAGCCCAGGCATTTGCCGTATATATATATATGTGTGTGTGTGTCTGTGTGTATTTTCCCCGAGAGCGTCTGAGCGAAGGGTTCTTCTAATAGTGGGGGTCTGTCAAACATGTTTACATCTTCACATCTTCTCATCCTCACATCCTCACATCTTCACATCCTCACATCTTCCCATCTTCACATCTGCTCATCTTCACATCTTGTCATCTTCACATCTTCTTATCTTCACATCTTCTCATCTTCATATCTTCACATCCTCACATCCTCACATCTTCACATCTTCAAATCTTCACATCTTCTCATCCTCACATCCTCACATCTTCACATCCTCACATCTTCACATCTTCTCATCTTCACATCTGCTCATCTTCACATCTTGTCATCTTCACGTCTTCTCTCATCTTCACATCTTCACATCCTCACATCTTCACATCTTCACATTCTCTCTCGCCCTCGTGCTCTCTCCTTCTTTTCTATTTTTCTCTTAAGGCGGGGGGCAGTGCCAACGAGACGGCACGAAGCGCAACCGTTTCGCACGAAACGAGGTTCGATCGCCAAAAACTGAGGTGAAATTACGATTTTGAGTGTGCCGCGACAACCCTTTCGCACGAAATGAGGTTCGATCGTCAAAAAACTGCGGTGAAATTGCGATTTTATAACCTCGGCAGCAACTATTTCACACGAAATGAGGTTCGATCCCCAAAAACTGAGGTGAAATTGCGATTTTCTAACCTTGCGGCAACTGCTTCGCACGAAATGAGGTTCGATCGCTGGTAAAATTGCGATTTTGAAGTGTCCGCGACAACCCTTTCGCACGAAATGAGGTTCGATCGCCAAAAACTGTGGTAAAATTGCGATTTTGAAGTGTCCTTCACACAAAATGAGGTTCGATCGTTGAAAACTGAGGTAAAATGGCATTTCTGTGTGTAAAAAGTATCTGTGTATAAAAGCGTCTGTGTGCAAAAGCTCCTGTGTGTAAAAGCTTCTGTGTGTAAAAGCTTCTTTTTGTAAACGCGTCTGTGTAAACGCGTCTGTGTGTAAAAGCGTCTGTGTGTAAAAGCTTCTTTGTGTAAACGCGTATGTGTGTAAACGCGTCTGTGTGTAAAAGCTTCTGTGTGTAAAAGTGTCTGTGTTTAAAAGCGTCTGTGTGTAAAGCGTCTGTGTGTAAAGGCTCTGTGTGTAAAAGCTTCTGTGTGCAAAAGCTTCTGTGCGCAAAAGCTTCAGTGTGCAAAAGCGTCTGTGTGTAAAAGCTTCTGTGTGTAGAAGCTTCTGTGTGTAAAAGCGTCTGTGTGTAGTAAACGTGTCTGTGTGTAAAAGTGTCTGTGTGTAAAGGCTTCTGTGTGTAAAAGCTTCTGTGTGTAAAAGTGTCTGTGTGTAAAAGCTTCTGTGTGTAAAAGCTTCTGTGTGCAAAAGCGTTTGCGTTTAAAAAGCTTCTGAGTGTAAAAGCTTCTGTGTGTAAAAGCTTCTGTGTGTAAAAGCTTCTGTGTGTGAAAGCTCCTGTGTGTAAAAGCTTCTTTGTGTAAAAGCTCCTGTGTTTAAAAGCTTTGTCTAAGACTTTCTCGTGCACAGTCGACGGTGAACAAAGCCGATGATTGCTTTTGCGTATTTGCGGTATAGTTGCCTGGACCTGGAAGCATTTCTCAGCAACATGTTTAGGTCACGAACTTCACCCCCATTCAGATTGCTGAGGTGGCCACGACAACGATGACTTCGCTGTGAATTTGTGTGTGTGTCCTGGTGTCTGTCTGCGTCTCTGTTTGTCAACCCGTGTCTGTCTCTTTGTGTGCGTGTGTGTCTGTGCCTGTGTGTGTGCCTTTATGTGTCTTCCTCTTTGCGTGCGTGTGTGTCTGTGCCTGTGTGTGTGTGTGCCTGTATGTGTCTTCCTCTTTGTGTTCTGTTTGTGTGTGTGTGCGTCTGTGTCTGTATCTTTGTTTGTGCGTCTGTGTGTGTATGTGTTTCTTTGCTGTCTGTCTGTCGGTCTCTCAAATTTTGTGTCTATCTTTGTCTACTTCTGCTTAGAATCTGACATAGACATAGCATTTCTATCCCCTTTCTGCTGATCATCTGCATCATCTTCAATGAAGCTTTCACCTACAATGTCTCTGATACTACTTACAACAGAGTAACATGCTCTTCTACGCTCTCGGGCCATCCGTCTAGTTAATACTGCAACTGATTGTTCATACTTTTTCACATCTTCAAAACTTACTTGGTGCAGGAGCCAGCTTTGGATTGCGCCCTGCGGCTTCGCGCGGCCCTGGACGGCGACCAGCCCCGGCACAAGACCCTGATCTTCAGCTCTGCGGAGGCGGCCTGTGATGAGCTTCGGTGGATGGTGGATGTGCCGTGACCTGGCGAAGCAGAGGATCTCATGGATTTCCGCAGGAGGATCCAAGTGATCCAAGATGATCCGGGAAAAATCAGTGTCATTATGTGTCTAAATATGTCTAAATCATATTCTTCAACAATATTCGATGATAGAGTTGAGGCATCTTGCAGATTCTTAATGATTCTTACATATTCTTACAGTACCAAAGCAATCCAAAGCTTTGTGGTCGTGTTGGCCTACACGGCCTCGCACATTGGGCAATCTTTAGGTTTTGTGTTGGTTTTGTGTTGGTTTCCATCCAAGTCTTGAGGGGGATTAGCGTTTTCAAACGTCAAGGCGCTGCTCATTTGAACCTACGACCCTTTAAAGTGGACAGATAACATTATATAACATTATATAACATTATATTACATTATGTTACATTATATTACATTATATTACATTAGATATAAGTATATAACATTATATAACATTATATACCAGTAGTACCGCACAAGGCGGTGGCGGAAGTTTCAAAAATAGGAAACCTATAGGAGAGGTTGGTTGTTGTGAATCAGGGATGGC